ATTTCCATGCTACTAAGCCACTCATCGTTACCATTTTAGTATAAGTTATGAAATATTCAAAAGAAATTAATAGATATCGATCGATATACTAAAATTGGGCATTGTTACCAGAATGGATGGGGAATTACTAATAAACTATGTACATGCGGCTATTTTACCGAGAAAGTAAAGGTATTATTTACAATAATATAAAAAATAAATTTTAATTCGTTACACTATACAAATATGAAGCAATTTATACAAATATGAAGCAATTTAAAACAATAATGAACAGGAGGAATCCTATGGTGAAGAAATTAGCCAAAGTACTATAACAGCAAAAGCAAACCTTGATCCAGAATTGGTGGGTGAGGGGTTATTTTTAAAAAGAAATATGGATTTGCTAGATACATTCTTTCAAGTTGATGAATAATTAATAGCTAATTGTTTTCATAACTTATACTCTGTGATAATAACATGTAATTTGATTTATATTTGCTTTGTGTAACTCTTTATTTGAAGTATATAACTCACAATTTACAAAACTTTCAGTAAATTAATTGTTGACCCGAATAACTGAATAAAACTCGTAAAATATTATTATTCGAATGATTCGAGCACTCTTCGGAAATTAATTCGCGAGTTACGAGTTAACACGAGTCCAGTCACTAAAGTAGAGTAATTTTCTGAGGCAAACTTTTTTTTTCCAGAATCAACAGTTTTATATTCTTACAGAAATAAAAATAAGTAATTAAACAATACAGATAAAGAATTTTAACAGATAAACTACTGTAGTTTTTCTTGCGAACTTAAAAGATGATATAAAGGTATTAGTAAAGCAATTTTAATGAGTTTAATTTTATAAACGTAAATTATATTATTATACTCAAGTTCTTTTAGCGAATTTAATTATAATAAGTTTGTCAATTACATTGAAAATTGACCTAAGTTATTCTTCTTCAATCGGTGAAAATACTATACGTTACTGAAATTAATTAGTATAATTCCTTTTAATTGTACTTTACAATAACCGAAAGCCATATCGACTACAATTGTAAGTACGTATGTATTACCGGAAAATTGTCCAGAATATGATACCGCTACGATTTTGTTAGGCAACACTATGTAAAAGCTTATAAGTATGCTTTTAAGTATGATCATCTGCTTATAAGTTTGATAAATCTGATAATTAAATATACGTATGAGTTTAAGAATATAAAGTTATAATACGCTACTATTTTTAAACTTATGGTTTTAATTTACGCTCAAAGCTAAACCGGTATATTATTAGCTATTTAATCTTTTTACTATTTACTTAAAAATGTGAACATATGTCTCTTATAGTTAAAAGTTAACGGAAGTTACTTAAAGTTCTACTAGCTTTATTAGAATATGGAAAGGTGGCAAATATAATAAATGGGTAATAGTGCGCATATGTTCTGTGTTATTTCTCAATTTGGCATCGTTTATATACTTCATATTTATCTTAATGGCTTTTTTTATATTTTAACGATCTCAATTTTATACACATTCGAAAAAATACTTGTCGCAGCTGATGCTGAAAACGGCTGAAGCTGAAATTTGGGGTCTCGATTTAAAAATATAAGCCCTGCTAAAATCCACATATACTTGTTAATTATCAATTCTAACCCTAAACACTAACTCAACTATAAAAAAAAGCGGGGAAAAAACACCCCAAAAATTTTTAAAAAATTCATATCAAAATAGACCCGAATTTCAGCATCAGCCGTTTTCAGCATCAGCTGCGACAATACTTATTCAAGATATTTTATTAAATTTAATTATAATATACATATATTTTTTTAATAAAATCAATATGGAGTCGATCAAAATCCTAACAAGTTAGCCCACATTAGATTAGGATTATCTATAGTTCCGGTCAATTTTCGTCATGATTTTCTTAATTAATAAATCGGGAATAGATAATCTATTATCTTTAAAAAAAAATCATCAACAAAACTTAGTAAAGTATTAAAATAGTTAGGTATTATATTGCTTATTACTCGAAATTCCAGTCCCGACTAGACACTTCCAAAAAGCCAGTAACAGCGCTAACACTTGCCAAAGGGCCAGTAACTGGTTCTACTCACTTGCAAAGGGCTAGTAAAAACCCGAAAGCCTACTTAGACACCCTTATTCAAGCCAGCATAAACCTATACATGAACACCTAAACGTTTCGTCAAAATTGTTGAACTCATCTAAGCTACTGTTGTGTTCGAACGAATTAATATGTTGTTCATGTTTTCAAGTCCAGACGAATTGAATATTGTCGAAATTAACTGAGTTTCTTCCAAGTTCCATATGTTGTATGTCGAGTTGAATATTGTTGAGTTTCTTCCAAGTTCCGTATGTCGTATGTTGAGTTGAATATTGTCAAAATTAATTAAATTTCTTCCAAGTTCCATATGTGAGTTGAATTACTTCTCGAAATATCCATATATAGATAAAGCTGCTAATAGCGTAACTTCGACACCCTTATCAAGCCGTAATACTAATAGCCGACTAGACACTTTCTGGAAGCCAGTACAGACAGCCAAAGAAATCCTCGTAATAAGCCAAGGTTGTTACTTTAGATAAGACATACCAGTACCATGTAAATTACATACGTCCCGGTATATATCTAT